GGCCTAATCTGAAAATGGAGGTCGTTTTTACAAAATCTACGGCTCCGGAAACATAAAAGTAGATCTTTATATTGGATAAATTCTAAAAACATAAATAAATCAAAACACAGTGGTGTAAACATAAAATGGATGTCATTTTAAAAATTTACGGATCGGGAAACATAAAAATACACCCTTATATCGAATAAATAAAAAAACTTAAATAATTCGAAAGGCAGTCACGTAATCATAAAATGGAGCTCATTTTCAAAATCTACGGTTCAAGAAACAAGACCTTTATATTGGATAAATTTGAAAAACTTAAATAAGTCAAAACGCAGCGGCGTAATCATAAAATGGAGCTCATTTTCAAAATCTACAGCTTCGGAAACATAAAAATACACCCTTACATCGAATTAATCAAAAAAACTTAAATAAATCGAAACGCAGTGGCGTAATCTTAAAATAGAGGCCATTTTCAAAATACACAGCTCCGGAAACATAAGAATACACCCTCATATGAAAAAAATCCAAAAAACTCAAATAAGTCGAAACGCGGTGGCCTAATCTTAAAATGGAGGTCGTTTTCAAAATCTACGGCTCCGGAAACATAAAAGTAGACCTTTATATTGGATAAATTCTAAAAACTTAAATAAGTCAAAACACAGTGGCGTAAACATAAAATGGATGTCATTTTCAAAATTTACGGATCGGGAAACATAAAAATACACCCTTATATCGAATAAATAAAAAAAACTTAAATAATTCGAAACGCAGTCACGTAATCTTAAAATGGAGGTTATTTTCAAAAACTACTCATACGATAACAGACCCACACATCGAAAAATTAAAGATAATTAAATAAATAAAAAAAGGTTGAATTTGAAATGGAAAAGGTTTAATTTGAAATGGAAAAGGTTGAATTTGACTTGGAAAAAGTTTAATTTGATTTGGAAAAGGTTGAATTTGACTTGGAAAAGGTTGAAATTGACTTGGAAATGCTATATATAGGCGTGCAACCTACGTAAGATCTCTTCTATGTTCACATGGACGCCATTTTGTATTCTAGCGGCTTGATATCTTCACCAGGACGAACAGGTGCTTGCCAGCCAATGAATTGCTACAACCGTTATCACATGTTTTAAATAAAAATATAATTTAAATGATATAAAGGTATCTATCGTTCGCCAATATTAAACATACAGTTAAAAATCACTCAACCGTTCCTGAACTATCTGTAAAATCGAAGTTTTAAACAATACAACTAATCAACAATTGGATATCTCTAAACTAAATTTCTGGTTGCTGCAGAGTTCAAAACTGGATATAAAAAAAAACTCCCATAAACGATCCCCCATTGGCATCATACATAGAAATGATACGTCCTGCACTGGACATATTACTTCCTGAGACTTTTGCCGTCTCGACCGAAGTCATGATTTTTCAATTGTATTTTTAGTACTAATAATTAATGTGTGAAATCAATAATGATTTGTAGTTTCAATTTATTCATCTCTTGATCAATTAATGGGAGAGCGTAAAAAACTATTTATTAAAATAAGATTTTTACTAAGTTGGAATATGGGATGTGGTTTTATAGTTTATAGCAATATTGAAGGACTTATAATAATCAAGGCTGCAGCTTACATTAAAATGTCTTCGAATCACAATATCGTATGTAACGGTTATAACGATGTATCGGCTTTAATGACGAAATTGCCATGTTCCATGATTCAGATGGCTTTTAGAATGTGATTTTGAATGGATTTAATGATTGGATTTACTGACTCGATTTTTTAGTTTTTAGAAGAAATGATCGTATATAGCGACATTTGAACTCCTAAAAACCTTCGTGTTTATATCTCACTTATCGAGGAAATACTTAATTCCATTCGTTCTGTAAGTAAGAATCACATTTATAGGGCCAATTGCATTCCCACTCTTAGGGTTAAATTCATATTTCTGTTTAGTAGTTTAATAAGAATAACGAAGATCAAAAAGTTCTAGATATAAAAAAAATTCTATACATGTTGCCGACTGGAGACTGAAGAGTCTAATAATATCTTGGCTCAAGAATTCAACATAAATCTTACAATTAGAAAAAATGACGAATCTAATCGAGGACATGCTGAATCAGTTTTATCCAAAAAACAATGACTACCTATCTACTCACGACAAAATCGGTTCTTCTCAATATTCCGCTATTAGACAAGGAGCTACCGACAATTTTATTTAAAGGAAGGATCTATAGCTAGTAACCATTTTAAATTCTGGATAAACCTCATCTGAACACACAACTTCGTTTAGTCAGTTGAAAACTTGCTTTCTATACGAGAATTTAAATTAAAGAGGCGAAATTTGACGGTCAATTTAACGGAAAAACTGACAGCTGAAATTTTGATATGATGTAAAGAATATGTTTCTAAAAGAATACACCTTGACCGATGACGTCAAAGTCATCACATTAGGGCAGTCCGATAGTAGTTGGTTGACAAAAAAAATTCAAATAGTAGGATTCTCTTTGGTTTTTTTTTTTTTTTTGGGATACTGATCTGAATTTGACGTTCTCGAACGAAATGTTCCATTTCGTATTAAGATATATGCAAAAATATCAAAATTTCTGAACTTCTTTTAGTTTTTTTGGACATTACTCCGAAACTGTGCATTTTATCGAAATTATTAGTACAACGTTAAAGAAGAAAAACTTTTATGCATAGCTTTTTGATGTAGGGCTAACGGGTGAGCAGTAAGAGAATATTGAGTGCATTTTTCACAAGAAAAATCTATTTTTGTCGGTTTTTCTCCAAAACTCATAATCTATGCATCAACGGAAGAAATTCAATATAATCAATTTGAAAGAGCATTAAATTTCGTATGTACCTCATACAGACACGTTAATATGTAAGAAGATTAAACGGCTTTTAAAGCTCAGAGAATCGAAGTCGTATTTCCCTTGTAGTATCTATCGTTCACAAATTAAGAGCTTTTTATCTTTTCAATACTTTATTTTCGGCTAATTTACCAATTTTATAACATAACTAGGATGTATAAACATAGTATACAGCTTTTATATATTCTGTTGATATGCATAACAATCATCAAACAATTAAGGACCAAAATAAGTTTTAAAGTCCGAGCGGTCCAACCACATTTTGCTCATTCGCATATTACGGACTCTACCTAAGCATGAGTTATGTGAAGCTGCCAACGTTCTCCTTCAGTTAACCAACGTATACTTACAGATAGTAAACAGTATTGTTATATTTTTCTTTTTAAAAAAGCACTGTTTTAACTCTATTTTGCTTACATTTTATTCCTTACCCTTGTTTAATTCCAATATAACAGCCAGGGCTGTTATTGATAGTGACAAGTAGGTAGGTTATGTAACGATATAAATATGAAGATGGTCCGGTTGTCTATAACAATCATACATTATAACATCGAAATTTACCAGGTCTCTTAAGGTCGTTATATTAATCCACTATGTATTAAATCCAATGTAAAAATAATATTATCGAATTAAAAAAATTCCCTGACTTTTCCAGGTTTTGAAAATTCCCTGACTTTGCCAGGTCGGTCGCCACCCTGTGTTTAGTTCTATAATAATTTTATAATCTTCCCTTTGATAATTAAAGTTAATTGTATTTTCTTTGTTTTCTTATAAATCTGATTTCTTGTTTATAATTTTCATTTCCTTTAACAGTTCTTTAAATTAATAGAAATAAGTAAATTCATCATTAGCATTATTAATAATAGGCAGTTTTAATTTCTTATTTTTCTTCTGTTTGTTTTCATGTTTTATGTATATATTATATTGTTTTTTTTAATGTTTAATAAGGAATTGTAAAACCCTATTCGAGGGATTAGGGAAAGTCATTATTAACCAAGTAAGAAGGTGCGATAGATTATGAGGTTAATTAACATATGTTTTTAAACCCATAGGTTCCGAGTTCATAGCTCACTCCGCGTCCTTATCTTTTTTTTTAAATTAAATTTATTCATTATTTTTTATTGGTTTTCGCTGTTTTCGAAATTCAACAAATAAAATAGCATGGTAGCTGTTAGATACTTAGTATTATTTAATTTACTCTTTATTAATTTTATTTTTTTTGCGAACCCTGCCGTCTCCACTGAGTTTGATGCGGAAATGATAATTCCAAATTAAAGACCATAACAAATAGAAAAATTATGATACTGTAAAATCTATCAAAACATACTGACTACATAGAAGAGCATTGAAAGGTTAAAATTATGTAAATAAGATGTGATGAGTAAATGTTTCAATATACACAATATAGAAGGAGTATGGAAAAGAAAGTAACTAGAAAAAAGTAAATGAGGCGAATATTAAGATAAAAGAAGAAGACCAACCCAATCTCACGAAAGTTTCCCGTAAGATAAGATGATTTGGATAGGAATTTTTCTATTTACATCTATTATTTTCTTTATTTAACTTCTCATTCTTTTTCTCTGTTTAACATTTTATTCTATGCCAATCTCACTCCTTTTTAGCATTCTAAGACATATTTTAACAACTACATCACCCCATTTATTCCATGTCAACTCATAATATTCCATGAAATTTCTTTGTTAATGAAGTTTAACAGCTATATATAATAATAAACACCATCTGGAAAAAAGAGGGACTGCCATTGACCTGCTATAAAACTGTAGTTATCCCATTCTTCAAATATTAGGAACAAATGTATTTTAATTTTAACTTATTTATTAAACAAAAAGACAAATGTTTTAACATGCATTGTAAGACAATGAGATATCTACTATTAGATTAAATTATCTTTGATGAAGGTGAGTAAATGTTAAGACTGAAACAATAAAAATAAATAATTACTATGGAAAGGAAGCTTTTCAATTACAAATACCTAGAACCATCTTACCTCTTCCTCTTGAAAAAATAATGATAAATGAAATAATAAATAAATCAAATAATAAGTGGAGACTTTAATTAAATTTTAAAATGAATTTACAGAATTAAAAATGATAATATAGCATTATTTTACCTTTGCATTCATCATGTCTACAGTCTGTTCAAAATCATTTATTCTTGATTGACAATTCTGAAATATCATTATAGAAAAAATCAGTAGAGAAATAATATAAAAAATAAATAAATAAACAAAAATCTATTGAGTTCACAAAACTTGCCTTATGATACTTCAATTCTTCTTCTAAAACTTCAACATTTGACTTGAGAGTAATGCTATCCTTTTCAGAACATTCTAACTGGTTATTTAAAGAGTTAATTTGACTCTTTAAAACTGCAATAGCCTTTAAACAAACAGTAAAATCAGAAACTATTAATTGATTTTCTGATTATAATTTACTATTTTAAACAAATATACTGGTTTCAATATCCTCACCAAAACCAGTTTTAATAGATTATGTCAAACCATTTTATAAAGTACTAAAACAACATGAGAGTGAAAAAAAAATATATATATATTATAAAGAATGTAACTACAGAATACACTAGGATTTTCATTAACTAATATTATCCTAGGATTTTCATTAATTATTAATATCCTAAAAATTTTAAGAATTAATAATATCCTAGAATTTTTATTAAGTAATAATATCCTATGATTTTCATAAACTAATAATATCCAATAATTTTCGTTAACTAATATTTTTTCACAGAATCTGAAAAATTGATCAATCAAATATTGGGAAAAAATCTATATCATGGGTCCAGATCATCCTCTTGGACAATACTCAATTTGGTTTGGGTAAACAAAGTATTCAGTACTCAAGAAGACTTGATAAGTACACCAAATGTGAAAAGTACTTGGGCAGTGCTTATCTCTAAACAAATGCAGCACTTACATAGCTTCTATTTTACAATACAATAGAATATTGGTAATTCATATATCCCGATAATTTGTATGGATTTCCCGGTCTCTTGAAATTCTCCCTCTACTTTTAAACTTCTTATATTATAAATTTTAAAAAACTCTGGTAGAGTCTTAACCTTTTTTAAGAGAGGAGAGTAAATGAGAGATTACTGTTTCTATGGGTTTTCGTTTGTTATATTTTGCTATTCATATTCTCTTTTAGTCGAATGTGTTGATATATTTCAGTTTAATTTTGATAAGGTCTCTGAGAAGGTTGTAACACTCTTTTTCCATCAAGGAAAAACAAGATATCATTAAAGCCGTGGCCATTGGCAAAAAACAAATTGTGGTGTCGAAACATTTTAATGTTCCTCCATTAACAATAACATACATTTTAAGAAACAAAGATAAAATTGCCTCACAGGCTACAGGCAGCAAATTAAAGTGCTTCAAGACGGGTGAGCACCTAGAAATGTAAGATAATTTAAAACTATGGTTAATACAAACTAGTAATTCAAACTTATTGATTGGAAGTAGCATTTTAAAGGGGATAGACAAAGTTTTTTTTCAGAAAAAATAAGAATTAAAGATTTTTGAGCAAGTGATGGTATGATTAGTTAAAAAAAAAAAAGAACAATATAAAATATTTTCCAATGACTTATCGTGCCAATAAAAAAGCACGGATAACAGTCGAGAGTTATTTAATGAATGCTGATGTGTATATTGATATATCAATAATTGTAGGAACAACATCAGTACTGTATCACTTAGCCATGTTATTTCCTGCCAACACTACCTCTCTAAGCTGCAGCCTGTAGACCAGGAAATAATTAAAACATTTAAGACATTTTGCTGGAAAGAAGTTGTGATATAACTCCTTAAAAAAAGTTGGGACACCTCAAAATATTGTAGAAATGGAATCCATCTACTGACCAAACCATGAACAATAATCAAGGGGAGGAGAGGTAAATGGAAAGAGATTAACATCACCTTATTTTCAGACATAAATATTGCTGAAAAAGCATAGCAGAATGTCATACGCTGATTTTATGCTATTTTATTTATATTTATATTTTATTACGCTGAATTTAAAAAAAAATAAAACTATAATGTTTGATTGTTCTACCTACATCCTTAGTACATTTATAGTAATAAATTTTTGTATTAATTTTGTTTTTTTTATTTTTACTCCCCATTCTTAGAAATCTCGATAATTCATATTGATATTCTCGGTCCGTGATAATATGAATTATCGGGATTCTACTATATTTTAAATTGAATTCTGGAATAAATTGTTAAAATATAAGGCCTTATATAATCCTTGATGACACCATATATAAATCATAGAATTATCGGGATTCTACTGTATTTTAAATTAAATTCTGGAATAAATTGTTAAAATATAAGGCCTTATGTAATCCTTGATGACACCATATATAAATCATAAACCCGTTTTATGATGACATTAATCATCATTTAGAATGTTATTATAGAAAAATTGAGATTAAACTTTCGGTATCTATTATAGATTATCTCAAGTTTTGTAACATACTTATTGCAAATTATGACCATTTTTTCGGTTTACTCCATTACAAATTAAATAATGATATTTTAAATACAATTCATGAGGATAAAACTAACTGAAAATTATCTTTTTCCAACTCACTTCATTATGACGATCATCATCTTGTTTTTGCAGCTGTTTAACTTTAACATTTTCTTGGCTAAGTTGTTCTTGCAACTAAAATTGAAGACATGAAACAAACCATAACTTCAAATTAAATTAATACTTATCAAACTAATTAATAAAGGTTAACAATGACGTGTGGGTTACTATGATAAGAACTAGCCATAGTCCAGTAATCCTAACTTCTGAAAAGGGCAACTTTGCATCAGATCTGGTAGATCTGATTTTTGCTGAGTTTTTTTTTTATGATGTTTTAGTCCAAGCTTTCGATCTCAACTGGCAAAAACAACATTTTCCGAAATTAAAAAAAAACATGATATTGCCAATATTTCTTCAGTTTTTGGCAATTATGACATAGAAGAACTAATTAGTGGTAACTAATAAATAATAAAACAACTAACACAATATAAAATAATAAGTATTTTGAATAATTTATGACTAAGAAATAATAATAAAGGAAAATAATGAAAAGAATAATAATAATAATAACATGAGTAAAACTGACCACAAATAAATTAGAACGATCATTGTTTATGCTGGATGTAGCAAATTAAAACAGTGTTTCCATGCATGTCGAGCAAAACCGACAATTTTACGACATTTGTTCACAGAAGGGGCATTTAGAAGGGAAATTAGAATATCATTTCGGACCGGGCTAGTTCAAAGAAATTCGATTCGAATTTGACCAAGCATTGAACACTCAGCCAAAAAATGCAATAGGTCCTCCTTTACTGGTAGGTTACAGATTTCTGTTTAGTAGTTTAATAAGAATAACAAAGAGCAAAAAGTTGTAGATATAAGAAAAATTCTATATATGTTGCTTGCTGACTGGAGATTGAAGAGTCTAATAATATCTTGGCTCAAGAATTCAACATAAATCTTACAATTTGAATAATTTTTGAATCTAATCGAGGACAAGCTGAATCAATTATATCCAAAAAACAACGACTACCTATCTACTCACGACAAAATCGGTTCTTCTCAATATTCCGCTATTAGACAAGGAGCTACCGACAATTTTATTTAAAGGAAGAACTTATAGCTAGTAACAATTTTAAATTCTAGATAAACCTCATCTGAACACACAATTTCCTTCAGTTAGTTGAACACTTGCTTTCTGTACAAAAATTTAAATTAACGAGGCGAAATTTGATCCATTTAACGGAAAAACTAACGGCTGAAATTTTGATATGAAGTAAAGAATATGTTTCCAAAATAATACACCTTGACCGACGACGTCAAAGTCATCACATTAGGGCGTTCCGATAGTAGTTGGTTGAACAAAAAATTCAAAGTCGGTTTCCCTTCGGTTTTTTATGTTTTTTTGGGATACTGATCTGAATTTGACGTTCCCGAACGAAATGTTCCATTTCGTATCGAGATATACGCAAAAACATCAATATTTCTGAACTTTTTTTAGTTTTTTGGACACGACTCCGAAACTGTGCATTTTATCGAAATTATTATTATATACAACGTTAAAGAAGATAAAATTTACTATCAATTTTATGCATAGCTTTTTGATGTAGGGCCAACGGGTGAGCAGTAAGAGAATATTGACAGTTGGCATTTTTCACAAGAAAAATTTATTTTTGTCAGTTTTTCCCCAAAACTCATAATATATGCATGTAACGAAGAAATTCAATTTGAAAGAGCATTAAGTCCAATGACATTTTGCTCATTCGCATATCATGACTCTACCTAAGCATGAATTATGAGAAGCTGCTAATGTTCTCCTTTAGTTACGAATAGAGATGTACACTTATAGATAGTAAATAGTATTGTTATATTTTTCTTTTTTAAAAAGCACTGTTTTAATTTCATTTTGCTCACATTTTATTCATTACCCTTGTTTAATTCCAATATAACGGCCAGGGCCGTTATTGACAGTGACAAGTGGATTGATATGGGTTATTTATCTTTTTTTTTTCGGTTTGCTCTACAGACCTTGTAGATCTTTGGCCGCCTGAACCAGCCTTCTCCACCTCTGCCTATCTTGGGCTACTGCTTTCCAGTTTGCTGCATGAAGCTCAGCCGTATCTTTGTTTATCCTATCTATCCATCTGGTTTTTGGCCTCTCATGTGGTCTCTTGCCTACTACTCTGGCATTCATTGTCGTGTAGAGGCGTCCTGATGGATTACTACGAGCTACATGTCCTGCCCATCTTAACCTCCTTGCCTTCTTATCATGAGATATTGACTGACCTGTTTCTTTCAACAGTTCTTTATTGTTCCTTCTCCTCCATGTGTCAAGGTTCTAGTCCCATATAGGTCCTGTTATCCTACGTAGAACTTTTCTTTCGAATCTCTCAATTCTGGCTTCTAATGTGCCGGTTAGAGCCCAGGTTTCACAGCCGTACAGCAGAATTGGCTTAATTACGGCATTGTATACCCTAATTTTGAGATTTCTGGATTTCAGTACCTTTGAAAAAGAGAAGAAAGATCTGTTCGCACTTGTTATTCGCTGTTCTATCTCTGTTAGTTGATCATTTATTGAGGTTATTGTGGAGCCGAGGTATTTGAATCTGTCTACTTTCGGGAATGATTTAGAATCCACGCAGATCATGTTATTAGAGTGGATGTTTCGGCTAACTATCATGTATTTTGTTTTATCTACATTGACCTGTAGTCCGATTTGCTCTGCTTCTTTTAAGAGAGTCCAAGCGAGTTTCTCAATATCCTCTTGATTACTTCCGAGGACAGCTATATCATCGGCATATGCTACGATTTTATGTTTCATTTCAACGTGCACCCCTCCATCTTCACGTGATGTTATTCTTATTAATTTCTGTAGTACTAAGTTGAACAGCATCGGCGAGAGTCTATCTCCCTGCCTCAAACCCGGTCGAACTTCAAAGGCTTCAGATACGTCTCCTTGTATTAGTACCCTGCATTTAGGATCATTTGTACATACCTTCGTCAACCTCACTAATTTCCCAGGAAAACCCAGCTCAGTCATGATCTTCCAGAGACAGTTTCTGTCAACGGAGTCATAGGCTGATTTGAAGTCGACAAATAGTGCGTGTACGTCCTGATCTACTTCCCATTGTTTTTCAAGTACTTGTTTCAAGATGAATATCTGATCTAGCATACTCCTCCCTTCCTGTTTGATGGTCGCCTATTATGTTTTCATAATACGGATATATCCGATTTAACAGAATATTAGTCATTGTTTTATAGGCGACCGGAAGAAGTGCTATGCTTCTGTAATTGCCACATTCATACATGGAGCCCTTCTTAAGGATAGGACAGATCAACCCTGTGTTCCATACTTCTGGTATCCGTTCCTTCTCCCATATCGTCTGGATTAGATCTAACAGCTTGGTTTTGAGTTCCTCTCCCCCATCCTTGAACAATTCTGATGGTAGGTTGTCTATCCCTGGGACTTTTCTTCTTTTAAACCTGCCGATAGCTATTTCCACATCCAGAATATCTGGTTTTTCAACCTCAAGTGGGTCGATGTCCTCAGTGTGGTCCATGTCTTCTTCGTTTGTGGGGTGCCCTTGGTTAAGCAGCTGCTGGAAATGTTCCTTCCAGATGCTTAGGATCTTTTCTTTAACTGCCGCCAATTTGCCATGTTTCCCTCGCATTTGTGTATTTCTCGCTTTATATCTTACCCTTTTTTTCCTGATATTTGCGAAGAATTCGTATATATTTCCAGCCTGCCAGTTTTTCTTAATAGTTTGTAATCTTTATTTGAGGAATTCTCTTTTGGCTGTTCTTATTATTTTGTTTGTCTTTTTCCTGGTGGCTGTGTATTTGTACAGCATAGCTTGATCAGTTTGTAAGCAGAGGACTTTTCTTCTTTCCTCCACTGTCTTTTCGCATGCTTCTGTGAACCATTTCTTGGCTTTTTTTCTTTCTGAATCCCTATTACTTCCTTAGCTGTTTGTTTTAGTCCTGACTCTAGTGCCTCCCAGTGTTGGTAGACCGTGAGAACTTCCGAGTTCAAGGGTTCGAATTTATTTTTCAGCTCAATTTGAAATTCAGCTTGTACTACAGGGTTTTTCAAATTACGGACTTTGTACCTCTGTCTTTCCAATTGGTTCCCAATTCAGTGGATTCGCTTCAGCCTATTACAGAGTTTGGTTCTAATCAGAGTATGGTCCAAATCACAGTCTGCTCCACGATAACTCCTTATTTCTTGTATGGAGCTTTGATGCCTCTTGTCTATCAGCACATGGTCGATTTGGCTTTTTGCTCCTTTAGGACTTACCTAGGTATACTCATGTATGTCCTTGTGCAGAAGCATCGTACTGCTTACTACTAGACCTTTAGCTGCTGCCAGACTAATGCATCTCACTCCATTGTCATTGCTAGTTTCGTGGAAACTTTGGCCTCCGATGATGGGATTAAATTGTTTTTCTCGACCTATCTTGGCATTGAAGTCTCTCATGACTAATTTTATATCATGTTTTGGAGCCTGGTCCACAACTTTTTCTAACTGATCATAGAAATCGTCCTTCACCTCATCCTCTTTTTCTTCGGTTGGTGCATACACGTTAATAATCGTGATATTAAAACAGCGACCTCTTACGCGCAGCACACTTATCCTTTCATTAACGGGGGTGAAGTTTATTACTGACTTCCTTGCGGCCGGATTAACTATAAATCCAGTGCCAGCTGTCCCATTTTTGTCGTTTCTCCCGGTGTAGAATAGTGTGTAGCCGTCTATAGTGGTTTCCCCGCCATCTGGCCACCTTACCTCTTGAATGGCTGTTAACGGTATGTTGTACCTTTTTACATCATTAACTACCTTTTTGGGCGGCTCCTGGTCAGCATAAGCTCCGAACAAAGGCGGAGTCGTTACCATGTTAAGACAGTCAGATTTTCTGAGGCTAGTTTTAGGTTTCTTAATACTGTTTTTTTTTTGACGGGATAGGGTTATTAGCCCTATGCCCAACCCCCAACCTGGAAGACCAGGAGCTATATCTACCGCAGTGTCACTCACCACCCTGTGGCATGAGTTGCCTCCAGTAGGCTGACGGGTCTCACATACCCGAGGCGGAGGGGGAGGAATCTCGGGCAGCGTGTCTTTCCAAGGCGGGCAGTCA